CCAACATGACAACGGAACTCCAAAATTCCTATGAGGACTTTTACACTTTTGAAATGCACCTAGATCTGATGGAAAGATACCATCAAAGTGCATGACAAGAGAGGTATGAAATCATATACTCCATGATAACAACCTTGATGAAGAACGGAGAGTTTGTCACAAGCCACATGCAGAAAATGCAAAGGTATGTGGATTGGTTGTTGAAGCTTAATGTGAACTTCCTTGAGGAGCTTGCAATAGATATCATTTTACACTCCTTACCATCGTGCTATGATCAATTCCGCATGACATGTCACATGAATGAGGAAGATGTCACACTCAGCAAACTTCAGGGACTTCTTAAGACCACAGAAAAAGGTCTTAAGGGGAAGTCAGCTGTTAACACTCCTACTCCAAACTCCGTCTCGGTTTTGGCAATCGGGAAAAGTCGAGGGAAGAAGAGGAAGAGCTCTTCGAAGGGTACCAAGGCTAGGAAACTTTATGGCTTCTCTTCAAGTGGAACAAAGAAAGGTTTCGTGCTCCTTCTTCTAACCCAAAAGAGGCTGAATGCTTCTATTGCCATGAAAGGTTACATTGGAAGCGGAACCACCCAAAGTACCAACAAGATGTGAAGGATGGGAAAGTTAAACCCAACCATGCATGTATTTAAACTATCTTATCTAATAACTCACCCCATTCTAACTCTTGGGTCCTTGATACCGGTTGTGGTATTCATATCTGTTCTGATTTGCATGGACTAAGAAGTAGTGAGAATGTGGACCAAGGAAGAATAAACTTAATCATGAGGAATAGGAAAGCTTTACCTGTCACCAAGATTGGAGTTTATACTTTATCGCTAAGTAGTGGGTTTAATTTAGATTTGAAGAAATGTTGTTATTCGCCAGAAATGGCAAGAAATATAATTTCCTTTCATGCATTGTATAAACAAGGTTTCACCTTTTCATTCGATAATGAAGTTGGTTCGATTACTGCTTTCTTTAATAATGTTCTTTATTTTAAAGCATTCCCTTGTGATGGTGTGTATGAAACTGTATCCGTGGTTGATAACTTAGGAAATAATGTATTGGGTATTGATTTTGTTAATGATAATAACTTGGATAAAGCATCACTATAGCACTGTCGTATTGGACATATAAGCAAGAAACGCATAGGCCAACTCCAAGAGGATGGAGTCTTGGAGTCATTTAACCTTAAGTCAGATGATAGTTGCGAATCATGCTTACTTGGAAAAATGACAAAGCCACCCTTCACAGGTTCTTGTGAGATAGGTGAAGGTTTGTTGGATCTTGTACATACGGATGTGTGTGGGCCCTTCAAACATGACACAAGGGATGCTAATTGTTATTATTTGACTTTTACTGATGATTACAATAGATATGGATATGTCTACTTAATCAAGCATAAGTCAGAGACTTTCGAAAGGTTTAAAGAGTTTAAACAGGAAGTCGAGAATCAATTGGGCAGGAACATTAAGATGCTTCGATCCGATCGAGGTCGTGAGTATCTTAGTTCAAAGTTCCTCGACTGTCTTAGGGAATGTGGGATTGTATCACAATTGACACCTCCCAGGACACCGCAGTTGACTGGTGTGACTGAGAGGTGTAATCAGACCTTGTTGGACATGGTTCGTTCCATGATGAGTTAAGCTTCGCTACCAATCTCATTTTAAGGGTATGCCTTAGAGACTGCCGCCTATATCCTTAATCTGGCCCTACAAAGAAAGTTGCCAAAACTCCTCATGAGATGTGGACTGGTAAAGTACCCAAACTAGACCACATCAAGATTTGGGGTTGCGAGGCTTTCGTGAGATGTGAGACTCATGATAAGCTCGAACCTCGAATCAAGAAGTGTATTTTCATCAGCTACCCACAACAATCCTTTGTTACCTCTTCTACAGACCTAGTGAAAATGTGGTCTTTGTAGCTAGGAGGGCATTCTTGAGAGAGAGAGAGAGAGAGAGAGAGAGAGTTCATAAGCCAATGAAACAGTGGGAGGCAAGTTGACCATGAAGAAATTCAAGAGTCAAGCAGTGAAGAAACTTCAAACCCTAGCACTCAACTTGAGGAGGAAACTCCTGTTGAGCCAATTGACATGTCTGTACCTCTGAGGCATTCCACAAGGGTTAGGAATGCACCTGAGCATTACTATGGATTCCATATTACTGCGGAAGGTGATACACTTATTAGTGATGAGACACTGATAGGTCTGGATTAACCTAACAGTTACGCAGAAGCCCTAGCAGGCCTTGAGTCAGCCAACTGGAAAGAGGCAATGGACAACGAGATACATTCCATGTATGACAATCATGTTTGGAACTTGGTTGAGAATGTACCAGGTCGTAAGACTGTAGGGGTGCAAGTGGATCTTCAAGAAGAAGACCGACATGGATGGTAATATACACACTTATAAAGCACAACTGGTTGCAATGGGTTTCTCACAAACTCTGGGAGTTAATTATGATGATACCTTTTCTCCAGTGGCCAAGATTAAGTCTATTAGGGTTCTGTTAGCCATAGCTGCATTTCATGACTATGAAATTTGGCAAATGGATGTCAAAACCGCTTTCATTAATGGAAAATTGGCTAAGGATGTTTACATGAGTCAGCCAGAGGGTTTTGTCAATACGGAGCACCCTAATAGAGTGTGTAAGCTTGAGAAATCCATTTATGGGTTAAAGCAAGCACCTCGCAGCTGGAATCTTTGCTTTGATGAGAAAGTTAAAGAGTTTGGCTATTCTAGGAGTGAAGATGAATCTTCTGTATATGTCAAGGCTAGTGGGAGTATAATTAGCTTTTTGGTATTATATGTGGATGACATACTACTCATAGGAAATGACATCCCAACTCTGCAAGAAGTTAAGTCCTAGCTTGGGAAGTGTTTCTCTATAAAGGACCTAGGAGAAGTTACCTATATTCTAGGGATAAGGATCTTGAGAGACCGGAGTAAACGACTAATTGGACTTAGTCAGAGTACCTACTTGGATAAGGTGCTGAAGAGATTCAGCATGCAGGACTCCAAGAAAGGAGAGTTACCCATCCAGAGTAACGCCAGATTGAGTAAGACACAAATCCCTAGTAATGAGGCTGAGATAGCAGAAATGAGTCGAATACCTTATGCTTTGGTTGTAGGATAGATCATGTATGCTATGATGTGTACTCGACCTGATGTAGCCTTTTCCTTGAGCATGGTTAGTAGGTATCAGGGGAACCCTGGCAAGGCACACTGGACTGCGGTAAAGAACATACTCAAGTACCTATGGAGGACTAAGGACTAGGTTCTTACCCTCGGTGGGAGTGAAGACTTGAGAGTTGTAGGGTATAGTGATGCTAGCTTTCAGACATATAGGGATAATTTTTGCTCTCAGTCAGGCTGGGTCTTTACCCTCAATGGAGGAGCAATTTCGTGGAAGAGTTCCAAGCAAGAGACAGTGGCTGATTCAACTTGCGAATCAGAGTATATAGCAGCGAGCGAGGCAGCAAAGGAGGCGATATGGCTGAACAACTTCGTTGGAGACCTTGGAGTTGTACCAGCTATTTGTGATAGTGAAAGTGATGTTTCCTTAGCCAAGGAACCAAGGGATCACGGGACATCTAGACACATCGACAGAAAATACCATTTCATCAAACATCGAATAGAAGAAGGACTCCTCGTGGCAAAGAGGGTATCATCAGATGAGAATCCAGCAGATCCCTCACGAAGGGATTGACTTGGGTTAAGCATCTTCAGCATGCTCGGAGCATAGGGATGAAGGATGATATTAGATTTAGTAGTTAGATAACCTCGAAATTTGTAAAGTGTAGTTGACATTAGATGATGAATAAAAGGTGTTTTATTTATTAGTAAAGTGTTGTTATCGCTTGTCAATCGTTTACTATATTTGTTTTGCATGTTTTGACTTCCAGAATAATTATGTTTGGTATATCATATTATTCAAACCTACACAGTCAGTCATATGTCGGAAGTAGGTTTGAATCAAGACTTTCATGATTGATTGCAAAGGTCTAAGGTGTTGGACATGGCTACAACAATCATGAGTGCTCATAAGTTTTGAGCATTGGACACAACCCACGCTCACTGGAATCACTTCATGGAATTTATCTCAAGTGATCGTGAGACGGTAATATCATATAAGTATTCAAACCTAGAGATATGATTTGCTACTTACGAGTTGGTTATGCGTTGATTGTACGTAAATGCATTGGTAACTCGATGTTATAAGACCTGCTTTTGTTTATAATTCAATGAGTGGTAGAAAAAACATATGAGTCGAAGTTTATATGTTCCTTCTTGGAATAGAAGCTGATATCTGGGCCCCTCGATGATTTTGTTTTGACCTAGGTACCGGGCTTGGTCAGAACTAAGTTGATGTGTTCAATCAAGTTCTTTGTCAAACAAATCGGAAATCGGGAAACAAACTAATGCACAATATGTAAGACACTGTTCCATGTATTTGTCCGGTTGATATCTTGAACAGAGGATTATATGATCACTTATCTTAAATGGCGTATCATCATCTTCTCAGTTCCAAGAAACCTTGAAAGAGCTACGATTGCTGATCGGTTCCTGAGGTCATACTCACAGTTATATAGTTATTAGACTTATCCAAGTGGGAGACTGTTGGATAAGGTGTCTAAGTCCATAACTATTTCTAGTATGTACTTGACCTGACCCAAGAGTTTTTAGCTACCTTGAGTGAGGTAAACCATGAGGGAAACTTTGCTTTTCGCATTTTTAGCACCCTTCACACTCTTCACGTAGACCAGTTATGTACTATCTTTCATACCCCCATCACTAGTTTATCCCAGCCCACCCCCGCTTTTGACGTACGCGAGTTTTGGTACTCCATTACTGGTTTGGAGTCTTATGATTCAGCCTCATCCGTAAAGACTAGCATCGTGCACCCTGTTCTCAAAACTGCATTGAAAATTATATACAATATTATTTATGCACAGATTGAGACTACGAACGCCAAAAAAGCTAACCTATTTCTTTTGTGGTGCATGATTACCGGTTCACATCGCTCGTATTTTGGTGATATTATCACCAAATGGTTTCATAGAGTTATCGGCATTCGCACTTGCGGTGCCATTCGCTATGGTGGTCTAATTACTGTCATTGCTCGCTCCCTCACGGAGCAATCTCCTCCCGGGTACACTTTCTTTTCGGCTGATTCCTTCCGTTTGACCCTGCAGAACCTTCGGGCTATGCACATGCTTCGTACTACCCCGGGTGGGTATGTTTGGATGCGGGGTCGCTCCACTTATTTCAAGGTCATTGGCCCTGATGTCATCGCCCTAGCAGACCCCATTAGCAACACTATGTGGGTTCTCCCATCGAACATCCCACCACCTCCTAGCATACGTAGGGCACAGCAAGTCAGACATCCACCATCTGATCGACCATGTTCGTCCACTCAGCATCCAGACTACGCGGACGCAACACCTGTTTCCTTTAGGCAGCCTGATCCCATGCAGACTGACTATTAGGATCAGCCCCCACCTACAAAGCCATCACACCCAGACCCCGACTACCCCTTCACTTACCAGCATTATCTTGACCTCCGTCAGGATATGGCTTCTCTTCAGCAGACTATGACTGGTCTCCGCTTAGATTATCAGCTTTATAGCTCTCAGGTTACAGATTATCGTGACGAGCTCTTAGGTTTCCATGACGATTTCTACACTTTCCGCGACTTCTTCCGTCTCTATGCACGCCCTTCCAACTAGTCGTCTTTCGCTCCTCCTTAAGCATTGAGGGCAATGCTTAATTTTAAGCTTGGGGAGGGGATTTCTTATCTTTTTTGTAAAAAGTTTTTATTTTGTTTTTTTTTTCTAATTAAAAAATATCCAAAAAGATTTTTCATTTATGTTTTCTTTTATTTGTCATTTTATTTCTTTCCAGTTTTTCTAAAATATTTTCATTTTCTTGCATTTTGCATTTGCATTTAAAAAAAATTAAAATTTTTTTACGAGATGATGACACTCTTTACATACGATAGCTCCATGAAGTGGGATATTGAGAATTATAAATGAAAAAAATACGAAGCAATCCGATTGTTGTTGGAAGTGTAGAATAAGTTGTCATAACGAGGGGATCCAAACACCGTGATTCGAGACCCCAACCTTAGATAATAAAAAAATAGCATACTGAAACGTTTTTTGGGCGGTAATAACAACTCTAGAATGATTTGCTTATTAATGTTTTAAAAGAATCTTTATCGGCAACTCTGAACCCACAGACCTTATTTGTTGACACGCGTTTCCTTCACGGTAACAGAGAGCTTAAGTATCAGACCCACACAGTCAAAATGAAGAAAGGGTACAATGTTATATCTAATACTCAAATCAAAGAATATCAAGCACTCAATTGAAGAAACTTCAAGAAATTCCCTCCAAAAAAAAAAAGATTGAAGAAATCAAGCTCAAAACAAAGTACAAATCAAAGTTCAATCAAGTTAAAGCCGTTCCAAAGTTATATATGGCGAATAAAAAACTGTGTGATATGATACTTGTGGCTCTCGAAAAAGTGAAAGCATAGAGCTCGGGCTCCTACGGGGGTTGGCCCTTGTTGCTTCGATGAAAGCTGATTTAGTCGTGCGGGTTCTTAAGGATGCATCGATTCTGATTCTTGGCCGTCTAGTCTTAAGGACATGAGATCCGGACTATGTTATTTTTGCTCATAAAACTAATTAAGGTACAAAGTTTAAATAAAACTCGAGTTGGACTATTGGGCTACACCGTTTGTGGTCTTCCTTACTTTGGGAATCTGTGATACATGAAAGATAGCAGGATGGTTGCTTTGGTGTTAATGATTGGAGCCCATTATCGATGTAAAGTCTGATCGTAAAAAAAATTATATAAAAGAGAAAAAGGAAAAAAAGAACATGTTGTATTTTAATTGATCATTCCTTATTTGCATACTATTTTAGTTCATTATTCATTTCTTTATCTTTACATGCATATGTTTTATATTTAGCTTTGGTTGTTTTTATTGTTTAGGTTTTTGTTTCTTTTAGTTGATGTGTGTCTAGGTTGTCCCGTTGTTGCGTTTAGCCCCAATTCCATTTCCAAAGTTATCGTTTTCGTACTTGAGGGCAAGTAAGGTCTAAGCTTGGGGAGGTTTGTTAGATGCATTTTATATGCATCTTTTAGCACAATTTCCTACGTATTTCATTATAAAAGCTAACTAATTCCCGATTATTCTTATGTATTTCGTGTTTCATGATTATTTTGTAGAATGCCCGTACTACTCACGTTTGTTATGACATTTCAGGGCCATTTGGAGCACATGGATGATTGCGCAAGTTCGGGATGCATTTGTGGATGCTTTGGAGCTAAATTGGAGTCTAGACTGAGAAGGGATGCCAGGAAATGATCAGGGACTGATTGGAAGGAGGAACGACGACCAAAAGAGCCAGAAGAAGTAGCTAGCGATCGCAGGTTGTGTCCTTCCGATCGCAGGTTCTCTTTGGGATTGCAGGTTGCTTACGAGGATTTGTCGAGCCAAAAAAATCATCAGCCAAGGAAAAAGAGGAACCTGCGATCGCAGGTTGTGCTTTTGCGACCGTAGGTTGGTAAATTTGTGACAAAATAGCAACGTACTTCATTAAAAAAATCCCGTGACTAGATTTTGGGTGATACATGCGATCTCATGTACCCCCTTGTGATCAAAGGTTCGGTTATTTGACAGTTATACGTACAAAACAACCCCATACCCTTCGAGTAACCCTAATTGGTGATTCCTGGCGATTCAGATGTGATTTTCAGAGGTTTTCAAGTGAAGAGTGTAGATCTGAAGGAGATTATTTGATTCCAATTCATAGTTTAGTAAGATTTATCATTTAAGTTCTATTTTCACTATTTGTAATATGTTTTTAGCCATGTTAGGCTAAAAACTCCTATTTCAGTTTCGCAAGATGTAACCTCTTTGTATGATTAATCATTAAGCACTATGTTTGACTATGATTACTGTTTAGTTTGATCAATTCTGTGTTAAATCGAATGTTTGATTTTGATTTCAGTTTCTATTGGCCACTTAAATTGTTTGTGAATCATTCTAGTCATCTAACTGTTTGGATCCGTAATTGTCAGATTAATTAGTAAAAAGTGACATATATTGGATTAATTCTGAGATTAGGGTTAAGTCTGATATCGATTGATCAAACAAGTTTTAACACCCCCGAGCTTATGAGAGGTATTGAACTTTACTAGGAAATTAGACTGTGTCTAATGCAACTTTTCTTTATTGATCAAGAGCTTGTTTGGTTAATTTAGTAAAAAGTTAGATTTAATTTAAAGAGCTTATTTTGATTAAATGATTTTTGTAATAAAGGTCATTAGAGCTTGTTAATGAACCTTAGTACCAGTTTAAACAAGTGCATAGTCAAATATTGTGTTGAAGGTTAATTATATGATTAGGGGAGTTACCGCGAAACTGGATTTTCTTTCTCTTATTTGAATTTTCATCACTTTACATTTAGTCATTTTCTTGTCATTTTCAATTACGATTAGTTTAATATTCAGAATACAATCCCATTTTTTTTACGTTTTGGCGTTTATCAAGAATTAGTTCATACCTTGTGCAAAGAGGTATAAACGTCACGACGTGTCCCTGAGGATGCGACCCTGCTTACGTGTACTACCTGTTAGTGCAATAGAGTAGTTTATTTTATATTTTTATTTGTTTAAAATCGTGTACAAAAACGGTCTGAAGAAATTGGCGCCATTGCCGGGGACACGGTAAAACACTAATAGTTTTATGCCAAGATCTTCACGTACATGTAATCTTATTTTTGATCCAGAGATTGAAAAGACTGCTAGGAAGCTAAAGAAGGAGGAAAAACTTTGAAGGAAACATACAGGAACCTCAACCTCACCAATACCACAAGGCACTCCCTTGTGGAACGAACCTGATCACTCATTTCAACCTTTTCCGAAAGCACCCCCTACCTCACCCGTTAACAGCCCATTCAAAACATACTCATCATCATCTTTAGACAAACCCGAACTCATAGATTCTTCTGAAACCAAATCCGAATCCATCATGAGCGATAACGGAGGTGAAGTTGAAAAAACTCTCCATGAGTGGGAAACAGAAGAGGTTACCCAACAACCCTTGTGTATCACCTTTCCAGAAGCTCGAAATTTTAAGCTCAAATCCGGTTTAATCCATCTGCTGCCCCCATTTCGAGGCCTTGAGAATGAAGATCATCATAAATTTCTCAAGGAATTCCATGTTGTCTGCCCTGGAGTGAAACCCCGTGGAGTTACTGAAGACTGAATAAAACTCAGGGAGTTTCCCTTCTCGGTTCAAGATGCAGCAAAGGGGTGGTTATATGATCTCCAATCTGGTTTAATAACAAGATGGAATGAAATCGCCAAACTCTTCCTAGAAAAATATTTTCCCAAGGCGAAACTGTCAAATCTACGCAGGGAGATTTTGGGTATAAAGCAAGGCAAAAGAGAAGCTCTCCACACTTATTGGGAGCGATTCAAGAAGCTTTTAGTCCGATGCCCACAACATGGCATTAGTGATTACCAGCTGTATCAGTGTTTTTGCGAAGGATTGATACCTATGGAGAGGCGACTAATAAATGCATCTAGTGGAGGGTCACTTTCAGACATGACACCAACAAAGATTAGTGCACTAATAGAGAAGCTGGCCAATGAGTCAAAACATTCAGCAACTGAGGAAGAGTGGTACCCAGACCATCCAAGAGGAGTCAAGGAGATGAGCAATGCTCACATGGAATCTCAGATTTCAGAATTCACTAAATCCGTCCTTTTGTTGACAAAAGAAAAAGGTGTAGAGCCAAAGGTCAAACCTTGCGGGATCTGCTGCAAAACCGGGCACCCAACCAATATGTACCCAATACTTCAAGAAGATAACGAATCTGTGTAAGCTATGGGAGGATTTCAGCAAAATCCATTTGATCAGCATTGCAACAACCAAGCTTGGGGAGGGCCTCAAAATAGCAATTTCCAGCCAAGACCTCAACAGAACTTTCAGCAAAGAAACTAATATCAAACTCCACCCAGGTTTTAGCAACCTTTTCAGCAAAATCAGCACCATAGCAATTTTTAGCAACCACCTGTTCAGTCACAAGCTAGTAGTTCTAGCATGTCCTTGGAAGACATAGTTAAAAGTCTTGCAACCAGTACCCAAGCTTTCTAGAATGAGACAAAGTCTAGCATCAAGAATCTGGAGCAGCACGTATCGCAACTCGTGAACTCAATGAGCAAATTAGAAGCTTAAACACAAGGAAAATTCCCATCTCAGACTGAGAAGAACTCGAAGCACAATGCTTGTGCTGTCACCCTTAGAAGTGGTAAAAACTACAAAGGACCAATTCAGAAAGAAGATGAAGAAGAAGAGATCGTGGTTGGGCAAGAATCTGATGCAACTGAAGAGGTGCAGAAAAAAGATGGACCTGCTGAAGCTGAAGTGAAAATTACCCCTCCTCCTTTTTCCTCAAGACCGATAAACA